TCTTTCCTTCTCTTGTTTGCGTGGTAGCCCATGTACCCCATAGCAAAAAACCTCTCTCTCAAAAAAAAAAAGGAAGTATATTACTCATTCAAATATGTATTCAAGTACCTTATTAATGACTAAAGAAGGTATCATCCTGGGGACCAGCAGATGGTGTAATGGTTACACCGCTAGACTCCTATACGGATGGTGGCATAAGCAAAACTAACAAACCTTTAGCTACACTAACAAAGACAACAGGACTCCAATCAAATTATAAACAAAAGAAAAAACATTACAAGAGACACCACAGACATTTTTAAAAATCATAAGGGAATACTATGAACAACTTTTTACATGAACTAACTGGACAACCTAACAGAAATGGACACTTTTTTAAAAAAGCATATTACCTACCAAGACGGAATCATGAAAAAAGAGAAAATCTGGACATAGCAATAGGTAAGGACATGACACTAATGATAAAAAATCTGCCTGAAAAGAAAAGGCCAAAATCAGACGACTTCACTGGTAAATTAAAGCAAATATTTAAGGAAGAATTTTAAAAATTTATTTATTTTACATTAATTCACCGTACGCCATCACAGCATACAAAATGTGATTTCCCACCCATAATACTCTGTATATTGGCTTAATGAAGGATATTACCATACATGCTATCATCAACAAATAATTTTCCACTTCTTGATTCTTATATATTTTTGCTCTAAAATTTATTTTTTTCTTTTCCCCTTGATTCTCTATTGTTTATCCCATTATTTCCAACCCTCCTCCTGCACTGTCTCTGGTATCAACAGTTGCTTTTCATGTTCCTTTTTCCTTTTCTTCCCTCATTTTATTGATTCACAAAATATCATAATTAATCTAAATACATTCAATATCAAGTGCAGCTGATATAAACATATCTGTGAACACATGTCTGACTTTAGGCATAAAACTCAGTGAGTAGAATGAACACACTATAAAGTAGCACCTAGCTGAAGCTAGATAGCTTACTGCAAACATTAAATAGGTAATTTTTGGCTTAACCTTCAGATAGGACATTCCTCTGGTTGTGGCTGCTCTTTTACAATGTCTACTGATTACAATACTGGGCTGGAAAAGTCCAGGTTATTTTTATGGTACAAATTCTTTCATATAGCTTCTCTAATCCTCTCTGCCAGGCAGAACTGCTTATGGTGCCAGGCCATCTTTCCAAGAGCTTCTGTTGGCTTCCTTGAGATCTTAGTTCTATAATTTTCTGGTTTAATCTTCAGATATGACATTCCAGTCAAAGCCACGTCCAATAACAAGTATTTCCAATTTCTGATTCAGGGCAACACGTATTATTGACCTTATGCAAATAACCATTTTGCTACAAAATAAGAATACTCCCAAATATTTTCCAATTCCAGAGGGGTCAGAGAGAAAAGGTTATGTTTCCACTTAAAGAAACAAACAAGAAAAAAATATTTTAACGAATTGCTGAAATATCAACAGTCAAAAGAAAGCAAAATCCTTAAATTGGGCAAACAAAGCATAGTAAAGAAAATGAAAGCAATGTTTTCCTCAAAAGTCATAATGCTTTTTGTTCTCTTATTTCTGTGTATGTGTCTAGTTTTCCTGGTAAAGTTCTCCTTTCAGAACTTCTTGAAGAGCTGGTCTGATGTTGGTAAATTCTTTCAGGTTTTGTTAATCTGAGAATGTTTGTGTCTTTTCTTTTCACATGAAGGATAATCTTGCCAGATATCATATTCTTGTTTCAAACTGTTTTCCACTTAACACTTTGAATATATTTTCCCATTCTTTCCTTGCTTGCATTGTTTCTGATGAGAGATCAGACGTGAGCCTGATGGGATAACCTTTTTAAGTAACCTAATGTTTCTCTCTTGCCAATTTTAGTATCTTGTCTCTGTGAATTTTGCCAATCTGTCTATGATGTGCCTTGAAGAAGATCCTCTTGGATTGATTCCATTAGGAGTTCTTTGCATTTCTTGGGTCTGGATATTCGAATGCCTCTCTAGGTTTGGAAAGTTTTCTTCCAGGATTTCATAGAATAGATTATCAACACCCTTATTAGTTTCTTCACCTTCTGGGATACCAATTATCCAGACAGTTGGCAATTATTGGTATCTAGTATTTCTTGTATAGTATTCTCATTTTTTAAAAATTATTTTTCTCAATTTTTCTGGTTGTTTTTTCTAGGTCAGAAGTTTTGCCTTCAACATCTGAGATTCGATCTTCTGCATGAACTAATCTGCTTTTAATACTTTTGAAAGAGGTTTTGATTTCTTGTATTGCAGCCTTCATCTCTAACAGCTCCATTTTATTCTTTTTTATGGTGTGTATTTTCTCTTTCAGACCGTGCAAGAACTTCCTCACCTCCTGGAACTCATCTTTTCTCCTGCATCTTTTGGAGTTCATGATCTCTTGGATCTTGTAGCTTATTTAGTTTTGTCACTGTGAATATTCTGAATTCTCTATCAGACATTTCTACGAGTTCCACTGTACTGTCTGTGAATGATGAAAGATAGTTCTTTTCACTTAGGGGAGGGATATTTTATTGGTTTCTCCTATTTCTTGTGCCCCCGCAGTGGTTTCTGGTAATTCTGTGACAAAAATCTCTCCTCTACTGTGTTTTGCAATGTGGTATCCACAGAAAAAGATTTTGAGTTCAGATTTATAAAAAGAAGTTTCTTCCTTAAAGCAGGAGTGGTGGAGACCATACAGCCAACACAGGCAGAACATGAGGCGCCTCTCATGTC